CAAGCAAGTTAATTCACATTTTTTTCGCATTACCAATTTTTCATTGAGCTTCCTTCGGTTGAGTCTCCCACTTTGGAGCTGGCTTTTAGGCATTCTGTGGGCAGGGACGGCAGGTCGAAAAGGGGGCATGCCAGCTGCCAACGTCTGCACATTTCCCATGAACTGGGGCTAATTCTTTTGCTGATGTTGGTGGAAACTCAGGGATCACGAAGTTGATTTGTGCGGGCTCAGTGAGTGCTTCAATTGGATTAGAAATTTCATTGGGATTAGCAGTCTTTACTGGTTCCGAGTTCTCTAAGCAGTTCATTGTCTTCTCTTCAAAGTATGGGGAAAACATTCTTAGGGGGAGAGTCCTTTGTCAGTCACCTACGCATATTTTCTAGATAACACCTCTATAGCGGGATACTAAAGGAAATGGAATACGAATTGGTTTTCATTTTCGACAAACAAAATTCCGTCTAGCCCAATCATAAATCTTTTATTTATTTATGAAGAAATTGTATTCCAAATTATTACTTTTTTATTTTTATTTATTTAAATTAAATTTTTCTTAATTTTATTGGTCTATGAGATGGGTTCCTCAAACTGATGCTTTACCATTCCTAATTAATCCGACAGTAGAGGTTCTATTCAATTCTTTCATGATAATTATTCACATAATTTTAACGAAACGGTTTCTCATTTCCTTCTTTAGACTTATTGCCTCTGGTACCTCTTTCCCAGCCCTGAAAAATTTTAGAAGTAATTTAGCGTGCTTGACTTTTTTTCCAAAGTTTAACTTTTGAATTAACAATGACGTTTGACAACAGGCGATGGAAGGTTAACATTAAATAAATATGTATAACACTGCCCCAATCTGTATAGGCCATAGAGGAGTCATTCTGGAAATTGGAAATTCCCCTTGCGGTTGAATGGAATAGAAGCCACAGCCAGAGGATGAGGAGGAGCTGATGGTGATGGCCATGAGCCATGAGCCAAAGCAATTGCAATTCCCGCCACATGCAATGTGCGGTTGGGTGTGGGTGTGGCTTCGGCTTCATCCCATGCTTCACTGCCACAATCCCCCCCGCCCCTCTTCGGTGTTGCCTTTCTGCTAACCGTAGAGAAAGCCAAGATTGCCTTGGCTTTGCCTCTTGGTCCGCCTTAATTGGTGCGGAAATTATTAATTATCTTTGGCTGGGGGCCATCCTTCTCGATGGCCTTGCCCAGAAATCGAAAGGCGATTGCCAGTGTCCGGGAAACAGATTCAATTTTCTGCTGCCGTCAGCTCCAGAAAATGCGAGCAACAATGTACTACAAAGTGGAATTGTCTGCGGTCTCCTAATTACCCGACCCGGCCAAGTGCATTTGCAAAATGTTGCACAGCATTTTTGGTCGTTCTGCGGTTGACCATTTGAGTGTGTCTGGCAGATTGTGGTATCAAATGAATTCACTTTGTTAGTGAATTCATCTTCTGTCAAGGGGGATATGGCTCAAGTGGGAGAAGTTTATGCGGAAAAATCAGGATCGATTCGGCTATGATAATCCATCGCTTGAGCGAGACAAATCGCTGGTTAATATAAGCTTCGATTAATTTGTCGATGAAAGATCATAAATTCATTTCCCATACATTTTTCATTCTGCACAGCCAGAAAACTGAAATGAAAATCAACAAGCATTTGAAATTGATTTATAAGCAACTGTTTTGAGAGCAGCTGCACTACGTTTTCAGAATGTTTGCAAAGGGTACACAGGATTTCAGGGTGGAATTTTATCCAAAAGGCATAGGGCTACAAAAGATACTCCAAAGTTTTCAAATAACGACTTCCAAGAGCCACCCAACTTACATTGAACCACTTCTAAGGCAAGTAATTGTTGCTGGTGGTTAACTAAAACATGAGTCTCTGTCCAGTAGGAGCTGCCAAGAACCAAAAGTTGACGTTGATGCACTTCTAATATTAAACAAAAAAAACTAATGTGAGAAGAAAAGTCTTTGTCTGCAATGAAGATATGAAGCGTACTTTAAGAGTCCAAAGTGCACGGAAAGACTGCACGTAGATAAATAAATAAAGCAAATAATTATTAATTAATGAATTATTATTAAAGAATAAAAGTAGATGAGCAAAAATCATTAAATTTATTCCAATTGATCGATAATAAATGGTTAAAGTGCAATATTTTGTACAATTGTTTTTCCTTTTTCACTAAAAGTACTACTATGCTCCACGAATGGTTATGCAAAATAATAAAAGCGCTACGGCAACTTTTCGTACAGCTTGTAAATCACTTTTTGTACAATTTGCCAACATTACCAGACTTGTTCCCCGAGTTGCAGTTGTTACAGTCTTGTATATTCTGTGAAAAGTTCTTAATTGCAAAATGCCCAAAGCTTGCCCCAGAGGGTTCCGGCCTCCCATTGTCTCATCTTTGCTAAGTTGGCTGGTAATTTGGCCAAAATTATGACAAAGCCAGCGGCTGCCAGTAAATGCCACGCCTACTTTTCTCGCTGCCATTTTATTGTACGTACCACTTTCCACCGTAGCATTTCAGTTCTTATGCAATTTGCAAAAGTTGTTCTCTGTACATTTAAACTTTAATTACTCGCAGCCATTGGGGGCTTCAAAATGGCGTGCATTGTCAGCAGGAAAAAAAAACTTCTGAACCCCTGACCGACCCATGTCGCCCCCTCCCCAAGGAGTGTGCAACAGGAATCACAAAATAAATAAAAACAAGAAACAGAAGTCCAAAAATAGCTGACAGAAAATGTACGAAGAAGAAGGGGAAAAACGGCGTACCAATATCTGCCTTTCGCCATTGATAAAATTGCATGCCATTTCCGGTCAGTAAACTTTCAATGGAAAAAACTTTTCCTTGTGTTTGTGACTGTATTTGTGTGTGTTGTGCGTGTGTGTGTGTAAAGCGAAGCAAAAGTAAATTTCCAATTGAGCAAAGTTATGCAAGTTATTGTGCAAGCAGCAGCAGGCTGAGGGCAGCGCTGGGATGGAGACTTGGCTGCATCTACCTGTCTAGGTGTGAAAAACTTATATCTACAGTACGTTTCATTGCCATAAGCCAGGCTCTATAGGTGATTAAATATGGGAAGTTCTATCATTTGTTAGAAATTGGAATAAGTGAAGTATTAATATTAATTCCTGAACTAAACTCGTTCCTTAATTTTTTAACTGAGCCAAAGGCCTTGAACATTTGGTTTGAATAATATTTTCAAATTTATTAAAGTTAATCTACGTAATAAATCATAATCTTTCTTGAACTAAACTGTTGTATGCCACTAAGTCCGATGACTTAAATTAGCCGATAGCTTCCGTATACTTAAGATAAAAACTATGATGAAAAAATATATATGTATGTATATTACAAATTTATGATTGCTAGTAGAAGCACTGTGATGACAGATCATATGCGAGGTAATGCCTCGCTTTTTCAACAATCCACTTTCATCGTCGATAGATTTGACGCACCCAAAACCACCTTATAGCCCCTTGCCACACAGTACTTTTAAGCCATTTAACTTTGTTGTTGGAGCAGAAGGCAATGCGATGGAAGTTGAAAATTTCGTTCAGCTGCTCGAATAACTCAATTAGTAAGGCCTTTGTTAAATTTTATGGGGAGTAGTCTCCCTGTTGTTGCCACTCTTTCTGCTGCTGTGCATTGACTCGAAGCGCAATTTTCACGCTTCTGTGACTGGGCCAAGCCCCAAAAACGAAAGCGAAAACGATAACGAAAAACGGTTGAAGAAAAGTGAAAATGAACAGAAAATAAGTAAGCAAGAAAATAGCGGCGGAGGAGATGCACACAGTTAATTGGAACAAAAGCCAGCAAGTAACTGCAATTGGAAGTGCACTTGCTATGAAAGTGAAACGTTAAATACTCGTAACAACTTTGAAAATACAAATCCCCAAATTCCCTTACCTCCACTATCAAAGGCAATCGTTCTGCTACACTGGGACATTAAAATATGCCATCGAAATACAGAATATTTACAAAAAATGGTTTCAAAATGACTTTGATCTTTGTGGCATTCGAATTTTTACAGTCATTGCACATGACTGCAGTCACGTGACACCAAGCCGAAGATTTGTATGATCTTTTGACATTAGACTTACCTAACTTTGCTGCAAAGAGAGAGAAAATGCAAAATAAGTGTTCTGAGCCGCCTCTAGACATGTGTACTGGCTTTCAGTAGAACAACTGAGGCACTACTTGAGACAAAATAATATTTTCCAGCACACACAGCCACCAAGCCAGCAAAATTGTTTCTGAAAAGTGCAACAATCGGTCATTTCTCTCACTCTGACTGACAGATTGGATGACAGTTTGTTGGATACAAGTGTGGCACACTATCATGATTCAATATAGTCTGGATTTGTGTTCGTGTTGTTCCCTCAGTGTACCTCCCGCCACCTCCTACTTCCACTGTTCCTCCTTCTGTGTGCTTTTTTTTATTTTTTTTTTCTTTGTCAACAGCTCAATGTAAATTTGTTTAGCTTTTGCACCTTATCCACCTGTGCGTGGCTCAACCCCTGCCACACGCTCGGACGCACCCAGTTCTGGCTAATGTGTCCCTAATTAGTTGCCACAAAATGAATTTGTGTGAATGGAACGTCCGTTCAGTCCATGGGGTTTAAAAATGAGCCACATTTTCACCAGCATTGCGGACATTTTTCAACTAATATGCCAGATGAGTAATTTAGGGGTCAAAACACTTGGGAGTCAATGCCCAAGGGAAGAGGTTATATCATATTAATTAATATTCTTTCATTACTTATCCGTTTTCAAATGAATAATGTCCGGCTATGTACCCGGTGCATATGTACTGAATAGGTATCCTTGAAGATCGATTTCTGGGGAAGAGCTATATCAAAAATATTTTTGTTGATTCGCATTGTGCCCATTCGTCGCATCATCATCGCATAACTAAAAAACCTTTTACATTCGTAATTATAAGCTTAAATATATGGAAATACTTAACAGCAAACGATTTCCTTTTATATTTCTTACAGTTTACAACTGAACGAAAATGGTCAACGATGAGGCAGGCGAGACACAGAGTACCAAATTATTAGGGTATGACTTCTATCGCCGTACTCTGGGGTCCCCTCGGTATGTGGTGGCGCCCATGGTCGACCAAAGCGAGCTGGCGTGGCGTATGCTTTGCCGTCGCTATGGAGCCGAACTCTGCTACTCGCCCATGTACCATGCCAATTTGTTCGCCCACGATCCCAAATATCGCAAGGATGCACTGCAAACGTGTCCGGAGGATAGGCCGCTGATTATTCAGTTTTGCGGTAATGATGCTCAACAGATACTGGATGCGGCGCTGTTGGCACAGGATCATTGCGATGCGGTGGACATAAATCTGGGGTGTCCACAGGCCATCGCCAAGAGGGGGCACTATGGTTCATTTCTGCAAGACGAATGGGAGTTGCTGACGGATATTGGTGAGTGGAATTGATTTGAATACTAGAATTGAATTAATTTCTATTTCTTAGTCAGGACACTGCACGAGAAGCTGTCTGTACCGGTGACCTGCAAAATCCGCATCTTCGAGGATCGAGAGAAAACATTACGATATGCCAAAATGCTGGAGGCTGCCGGCTGTCAGCTCCTCACCGTTCATGGCCGGACCAGAGAGCAGAAGGGACCCCTCACAGGTGTGGCCGATTGGAGTTACATTGAGGAGCTGCGGCAGCACTTGAAAATACCCATGTTCGCCAATGGCAATATACTGGGGCTGGCGGATGTCCACCGGTGTCTGGACGAGACGGGCGTGGATGGTGTGATGACTGCCGAGGGTAATCTGCATAATCCGGCCATCTTTCAAGGCATAGCACCGCCCGTCTGGCAGATGGCCAAAGAGTACTTAGAACTTGTGGATCTATATCCCTGTCCCAGCTCCTATATCAGAGGACATCTCTTCAAGCTCTTCCATCACATGTGAGATTACATATATAAACATCTATGTTGTGGCACTTTAAAGTGAACTTTCTTGACTAATTCCAGCATGAACATACGGCAGAATTCAGAGCTTAGGGACACGCTGGCCACTTCGAATCAGTTAGTGCAATTCCAAGCGGTTGTGGACAAAGTCCAGGCCAAATATGAGCCCTATCATCGGAAGGAAGTGGTCTATGTACCGGAGGAAATGGATGCCACCATAAGTACAGATGTAAGTAATAGATAAACTTTAATAGATCCATAGATTTCATATGTTTTAATCTTTAAAGAACCTCGAACTTTCACCCTGGCTCTGCCAGCCCTACATACGCGCCTCCCCCGAATCCCATCGACAGAAAATTGCCGAAAAAGAGCTGGAAGCCATTGATCCGAATCGCACTAAGCGTCAATACTTTGACAAAGACGGCAATGAAATCTCCCGAAAACGCATGAAAAAGCTGCGAAGACGCCAGCGGCGACCCAATAAAACCGAGGCCCAAATCCACCATCGACATGAACGGCGACTGCAATACTGCACGGCATGCGCCAATCCGCAGGGATCAAAGTGTGAATTTAATCTATGCCGAGTGTGCTGCAAGGACAAGTGCTATGGTGAGGACTGCGACTGTCCCGGCCATGGTATACTGATCAAATCGAGACGAGCCAAGGCAAAACAGTACCAGGAACATTCCAAATTAGAGGAAAATTCCGATTCCGGCATCCGCATTGACCATCTGGATAATGATCCTGTTGTGCGTGTTGCGGCTGGTGATGTTCCCTGATAATCGGCTTAAATGAATTTATGTAGGAAACGACTATTCTAATTGTTCCTATGTCTGCTAATAAAAGAATCAAAATATTTTTTTTGTTAAATATTGGATTTTAATAGGTACTTTGCAACGCGAATCTACAGAACTTTGTATAGGGGCATTTTCATGGCAGGTCAACCAATTAAACGTCAATAAAAATACATTTCCAATAATGTCCCGATACTATTTTCAAAATTTATTGCAACTCCCAGGCAACTCCTCATGCCCATTGAATTTACGCAAGTGAAAAATATAAAAGTTTTTTAAAGTTTCATTTTAAACTTAATTTAAACATTAATTCACAAATCGCAAATGAATTTCATATAACATACATATATCGTATATATATACCAGATTAGTTTATGAAAAAACAAAACCAATAATATATTGTTCACTCGTAGGAAATTTAGAAAATTATCCACAAAGAACGAATATAAATTAAGCCGAATATAAAAATGAGTAATATGATTTCCAATCACCAAAAAAGAACATTTAACCCATTGTCGACCAGTGGTCAATACACGCACGTTTTTTGAAATTTGAAACATTTTTTACTCAGTTCAGGTGAAAGAAATCGTGTTAATATTGGCTTGTAATCAAAGAGGAAGGATGGCTCTACAAGAAATATATACAAACAGTATTGTTTTCCGCGTCTTAACTCAAGTTGCTTACCTGTTTAAATAGAGGGGGCTAATTGGGCTAAGTTCTGAGGGTCAGTCACACTGTCAAAGAACGAACTAGTTCCACTAAACAAAATATTTTTTTAATTTGTGTTTATTTTTCTACACTAAACAGCAACATAAACATTTTGTTGCACTCAAACACATATTTCGCGTACTTCCAACAATAATTCAATTTCTATTATTAGTAAATTGATGCTATATTTGACATCTCTAGTTCGCACAGTTCATAAGCACCAGTTGCACGCGCAACATTAAAAATGGAACAAACCCAGAAATTTTACGACTTTTGTGTCCCATTCAACAAAGATGACAAACAAATGCGGGCCATACTCAATGAGCTGGTAGAGCGTAAGTAGTGGAGAAACTAACTAACTAACTGCACTAACAATTTGTCATCTCACCTCCAGTGGGCTATAGAACGATTGCGATCGACCAGAGTTTCGACCACAGCAAGAAGGATGCCGGCAAACGTGGCTCCGAAATGTTTCCCGCACCCCACAGCATCGAGCATTTGCGGAAGGAGTTTGCCGACAAACTGAGAATACTACAAAGGATAACTATTCTCTATGTGGATGTAAATCTGTCGCATGCGATGGCAAGTTATTCATTTTGTTGCTATTTGTTCCCGTACTAATGTATTATGCCTCGTTTAGAGTGTTTCGTATAATCTGCGAAAGTTCAATCTTATTGCTGGACAGCCCAAAACCGATGCCGCACTTACAGTAAGCCAACTGGAATTTAAAATCTTTGAGCTCCTATTTATTTTCCGTTCCCCACTAGCATTGCTGCACCACCTTCACAGGAGACATAATAACCTTCGATCCTGTAGCTGGTTCGAGGCTTTTAGTCAACAGAAAGGCCTATCAGGTGGCCGTTCGTCGTGGCATGTTCTTCGAGATCAAATATGCGCCAGCTATTGCCGACTCCAACAATCGCAAGGACATGATTAAGTTGGCCCAGAACTACTCGATCAAGGGCAAGTCCAAGAATATAATTCTCAGCAGTGGAGCGGAGCATGAGTTCCAGCTACGAGGACCCTACGATGTGGCGAATCTGTAAGTTGATTGAATCACTAAATTTTCCTTGAATTTTATATGAATTTTCCCTTTTAGGGCTTTTATATTTGGTTTATCGGAGGACCAGGGAAAGAATGCTGTGGATCGTTTCTGCCGGCAGATATTTTTGCGTGCCGAATCGCGACGCTTGGGCAAAACAATAATGTTTGTTAAGGGAAATGGACCCATTGTGTTTTCGGACAGCTCGGAAGATGACCAAAGCGAAGCGGAAGGGGACGAAATGGATGCAATAGTCACCGAAATGTCGAAAGACGGACAAGATGAAGAGCAAACTGAAATTAAACCACCCAATAAAAGACTGAAAGTGGCATAAAACCAACGTAAATCCTTAATCTAATTATTAAATTACGTTTGTTATCTGTATTATGTTACGTTGTTATGAAGAAATAGTCATATTGCCGCTTCGCTTTTCACAGTTTTTTGTCGGCGAGCTTCTGTTAGAGTCGATAGATTGATATTTCGATTTAACTATCTTTCTACTTATATAGAGATGGGAGTTAAAACGGCACATGGCAACGGCATAAGCAACAAATTGCCCAGATATCAAAGGACAGAGAGTGGGCAACCAAAAGGACTGGACTTGAATGATTCTGCTTTCAAAAACCAGAAAATGGAAATAGATTTTCTTAACTGGCAGAAGATCTAGCCACACTTTAAATATATATTTATTTTCCTCTTTGCTAAAAATTAAATAAAATTATATTTAAATTGTAAATTTAACGAACTACTTCGGGACGCATTGACTCCAAGCACTGATATAAAAATATCTCCGATTTCCGCTTGTGATCACAGTGCTCGTGTCCCATGGACCAGTCGTACCCAAGGGCATAGGCAAAGAGCTGCCCATCACCGCTGATGGCGCACTTAGTGATCGTCTGATCCATCGCGGCACTGCTGTAGATATTGCAACGCTCGCCCTTTTTCCAGAAATTGAATTTTTTATCGGAACCAACGGTGGCGATGCTCTGGTGTATGGGATGCACCCGCACATCGTTCACCGCATAGATGTCACATGAGGAGTCGTCACTACTGTATTGGCGATGGCACGTCAAATCGTAGTTCTTTCGGTTCTCGGTGATATCTGGGATGTTCCGCACATGCATGAGACCTTTTGTGGTGACGGCGACGTATCCGGTGGGACGTTGGTTACTCTGGAAGACGGCAATCGCACGGACCTGCTGCCCGTCGGTTTGGTGCTCGGATGACTTGGTTAGATCCTCGCGGCTCAGTTCGAAGGGGCCATTTTTCAGGGAATAGCTGATGATGTTCTGGTCGGCACAGGCCACCACGGCCAGCGGATATAGCACATCGGCAGCGAAGCATCGCTCCGGTAGTCCAAAGCTCACCACGGGCTGAGGGTTGCGAATATCCCAGAATTTGACGGTCTTATCCCACGATGCAGTCATCAGGAGGGGTGACCTGGGAGTCCACAGCCAGTGGCAGGCACGAACTCCCGCTAAATGGAACTGCTTCTGAGAGACGTTATTGGTGTCCAGGTTCCATTCATACACACTGCCGTCGACGTCGCTCGCGTAGATGCGATTACCGTCACCATTCCAGCTGACATCCAGGAGCGGAGCAGACAGCTTCTGCAGGCACTTGGCTGTCGTGGTCTCGCTGTTGGCATCCACTTCCCAGACACGTACGGTCTGGTCCCAACTGGCAGCGCACAGCCCATTAAAGGGTGCTGTCTTGGGAGTGAATTCAAGTGCCGATACCGCATCGCTGGGAGGTTCACAGGCCGGAAAACCCTTTAAAAAATTATAACAATGGTCGGACATTTTGTTAAAGTGTACAAGGCGGTACTTGGTTTATATTTGAAAATAATTTTGGTTGATTTGCTTTGTTTTAGCTCTAAAAAAACTTTTTGATGTCGACAATTGAAAATCCGACAGTCAAACTACAAAACTAACCGATATCTGGATCGTTTCCAAAACTACTAAAGGTTTGCTTTGAACTGAACATAAAAATATAATCAGAATCAGTTTCAGAAAGGCCAACAACTGATCCAATCATTGGAAGGGAAGCAAATTCGAACATATAAAGTGTATATATACATTCGCGATACTTATAAATAAGCGAGTCTACCTCCAGATGGATGTCCGGATGTCTTTTCTTTATTCATTGGGAGAGGATTGAGATTCGATATGCAGCGGGAATATTTTAAAATTTAAATGCAGTCCACGGGCCTCGCCTATAACTGCCAGCAGATGGCGCTGTACCGTTGACCGTTGACGGTACTTGGGATATTTTGACGTTAATTAATTAAATTAAGTTTCATAGTGAGAGGTTCTTATGGAGAGAGTTATGTATAGAGGAGTCTAATCTAGTTCAAAATATGTCAATACGAGTCAATTCATTGTTACTTAGATTTCAAAGCAGCTTGGAAAACAGAAATTTAATATTTAACATTTAAATTGGGTATACAAAGTACCATACTCCACAAATATGTAGCTACCGTGTAGTTACAATGTAAAAATTGACATATTTTTGTACCTTAGCTTAAACCACTAACCATACACAGTAACCATACAGTACCAGTATGGTTAGTGCCATACAGTATACTGTATGGTTAGTCGGATAAGGTAAGCACAATATGTAAATGTTTTTTTACACCTCTTTTATTTAAAAACACCATAAAAAAATACAAGATAAGATACATACATATGCATACAAATTTTAAAATTTGTTTAAATTGATTTTCTGTTTTTGTGTATTTTGGAATCCTGGCGCATAATACCTTACCCTTGTTTGGTTCGCTGTGAAACTACTCACAGCTACCTCAACGAAATTTGGCAGCTTATAGTATATACCATATAGAGTAAACAAATCAAATGCATGAACAGGTAAAACATAAGTTGATCTAAGAAAATGATTTGAACATAAGAAGGTATTTTTGGGTATATTTCTGAGGGTCTGGCGGTGTATTTTACCGGTGATCCCACAGGGTGACCGTTTACGTACATATGGGATTTACGGGATATTTTGACGTCAAAATCGAGCTCAAAATATATTTACGGTATATCTGTATATAAAAGTATATTTAATCAAGTTCCATTCTATTATTTAAAGTAAATTAAAGTACTTTTCAAAATGAACGCCAAACTCCATTTAGCGGACAAAAAATACCGACATTTTTCGCTCTCAATTCGTGGTGGTTTTTCAAAATTTGCTCTCTTTTCAGAGGTGAAAAGAGCGTTTTCGTGGTGACTTTTCGTGGTGTGAGAAACATGTATCTTACGGGAACGCGTAGCAACAATGAAATTCGCGCCCCAAGTGTTTACAGAAAATTTCAAACGATTTGATTGGCGGAAAGTTGAAAACGCGGTTGGAACGGTTGAATGTTCTTCATCGTTATTATTAATTTTTTGATTTAAAAAATGATCAATTGATATTTTTTTGATACTCAGCGGACTTGTGAAGAAGAATATTCGGCACTTTTTTTTTGTTTCATGGTCGCGCGAACATTTTTTTGGACATTGCCCAGAAAACCACCCCAAATGTTTACAGAAAATTTCGAACGATTTGAAACCGTTACTTTTGTAACGGATTTTATATCGAAAAGTATTTTTTTGGTACAAAAAGCAAAAATATCTATTATTGATGATAGGCCGTCGGCTAAGTGGAGGGTCTGGAGTGGATTTATATGGCGAAATGAAATTGGCGGACTCCCAAGATAAATATAAATGTACGATTCTCAAATTTAACAAGATCCCACTTCATTACCTAACTTTCTCTGATCACATAAATAAATTTTTCTAAAAACAGGAATGCTAGAATGGGCTTGGTTTGGCTTATTTTTTAACCAAACAATTGCTTATCAAATACATGTAATACCTAAGCAAGCTTAAAATAATAGTAAAAATAGTCCGTGAAGGGAGGAAATTCTCCGAATCTCTCCAGCTTGTAGCTGTTGACATTCTCCAGGCTAAAAGGCATCCTATCTAGGGCCAATTTTTGACGCACGCACGTATGAAAGAAAATAATTCCCTTTTACCAATAAATACTGAAACTGTACCTAAATTTCAACCTTTTTCATTGGGTGGTGATGATTATTTTGAACATAGATTCATTGTTGCGCGTTCCCGTAAGATACTTTTGATTTGTATGGGAAAAAATTCAGCAACATGTGGAAATGAAGAGGCAGCATTGCTGTGCAACTTTGGCACGGGATGATCAACAATCTGCATATCTTGGGAAAATGGATATTATGAACTTGAGATATTGTTTGTAATTTCAGGCTCCAATTAATGCAGAAACTACTCAGTCTGTTTTGAAAGATATTAACGAAATTTTGCAGCTCACGGGTTCCAATAATAGGTATCAGAACCGGGATATATGTATTTATAAAACAAAAACATGTGCATATATAGGTAAAAAACATATCAATCTAGGAAAAAAATAAATAATGTTTCAATGGAGCTTGAAACAAAACATTTAACATCAATTAAAAGAAATAAGGTATACAAAAGTACATACGCATAGAAGAAACTTGGTTGACCAGCAACACTGACGTCACATTTAGTCAACATTCACATTTTATGCTTTGGCCACTGAAAAAGAGTTCTGAAAACTAGCCGATCCTGAACAAAATTAATGTATCTATCGGATAAAATTATTTGTTTATGGCTGAGAGGGTTAACTAGCTAGTAATATTAAACCGAATATCAAAATCGAAGAATATTAACGCATCTTGTCGTGTCCGTCAGTATATTTACGGTAGTTCGATAATGACAATGTATATTTCGGTATATTTTTGATGGTCAGGCGGTATGTTTTATCGATGAACTGCGGTCACACCGATTTCAACAAAACAAAATGGAGGTTCGTGTGGTGCGTTGTCCGACATAGTGCTGCTAGAATTCTGCATTAAACGGTAATTAAAAGTGTATATCAATTGATGGAATTAACAAGAAAACGCTGATAAAGTTGCCGGCAACTGGATAAGCAAGAAACCCAAACAAAAATGAGCGTATTTTAAGCGAAAAATGCGTTTGAAAATCGCACCCGAAAAAGAGACACTTGAAAAGAAAAAAATGTGCAAAGAAGAAGAGAGTGGAGAGCAGAGCGAAGAGCGAGCACAAGACGACACACAAGCGACGAGAAAAACGGCAAAAGAAATATGTATTTCGCGAGACGACGACGACCGCACCGAGCGGCGGCGACTGTGACGGCGACGGCAGAGAAAATCAAAGGCTGAAAGCAGCCAATGTCCAATTTTCAATTGTTTTTCCTAGTGCCAAGTGCATTTTGTAAATATGTATGTTTGTGTGTGTTAATTAATTGGCAAAAAAAATAATTACAACAATTTCTAAAACAAAAACATAAATACATAATCAAATCTGAAAGTGTGAGAGAGAAGTGAAGTCTTGGAGGAGTTTTTTCTTCTGCTGTCTAATTAAAAATGGACCTCTCTGTGCAACTGTGTGTTTGTGTGTGTGTGTGTGTGAATATGTGAGCTTCATCATGATGTTTGATGTCTTTTGCGGGGGTGCGGTGGGGACAAGCAAGCCGCCATCAAAGTTGATTTCTTTCTTCAAGTCTGCTCTTGGTCTCTCTCGCACAAATTAGTTGCAGTTGATTTTTCCCGTTTCTTCGTGGCCGAAGAGATTTTGCGTTTGCTCGCCATTTATAATTGCTGCCTTCCTTTTCCCACTCGCACAGTCTTCTTCTTTGACTCCCAAAAATGTTGTTGCCTTTTTTTCGCGTATCGCGCGTCGCATAAATTTTGTGTATGTATTGGTCTCTGTTTTGGCTGTGTGAGTGCTGCTGCAGTATTGCCAACATCGTGAGATGCAGGCACAGAGCACCATTTGCACCTGTGCAAAAGACAATCTCCCTGTCGTCTTCACCCCCGCAGCCTGCAACTCCACGAAATGCTACATTTTCTGCCCTCCCTCTTCGGTGCTCTCTGCATATTTTGTTATTGTTGCAGCATCTGCTGGACAAATTTGCTATTACTCAAATTGAAGAGTAATTAAAGTTCGAACCGAACCCCCTCTTTCGATATGTTAATTTGAGCGCAAGAGCAGCACAGCAGGCAGATACATTGCCCCTGCAACGGTATCCCCATCTCTTCTTCTTACTCTTTAGGCTTCAACCATTTGATTGCTGGCTGCTCTGCCTCTGTCAACTCATCTGTCTGCCTCCCTCTTGCTCATTTTTACCCATACTCTCCAACACTCACACAAACACACGCTCGGACACACGTTTTTCTAGCCGGGCCACTCGCTGGCTGGCCTGGCCTGCCGTTTGGTTTGCCTGCCTGCTTGCTCTCTCACACTATAACGCGCAATTGATGAGAGAGCGTAAAATTCATGCGCTTGTCGCTGCTCTCGACGCAACGCGTCTGTTGTGCGTCTCTTCGTCTGCTGAGACGGCTGTAACAATTTTTTGTCTTTTGCTTTTCATGACTTCTTTGCGGTCTTTTCCTTTGCTACTACTAAAATGAAGAAAAAAAATACGCCAGAGGAAAGGAAGAAGCAGAAGCACCAGAGATTTCCAGTAATATCTATCGATTTCTTTGTTTGGGCTGCTGTCGACGATGACGGCTGCGGCGCTGCTCCAACTCTACGTGCGCGTATATCATGTTTAATTGTAATTATCGTGTGTGAGTGTGATTGACTGTATGTGAGAGAGTGGAGAGCAAGAAGCAGCAGCAACAGTCCGCGAATGGCAATCGCTGCGCTTTTGTAGTTTTGCTGCCTCTTCTACATTCCTCTTTTGTTGATGTTGTTGTTGTTGTTGGTACAATTGTGCTACAATTATTGTATCTACACTTGAATTAGCAATTGTTGTAGTTGTCGTCATTCCTTGATTCCGTCGTCATCTGTCATTCTCATACGAGAATCGACTCGCGCGCGCTCTTGTCCGAAAAAAAATTGATTGCGTGACCACCAGCCAAATGAACTGTAAACTGTATGTGAGAGGGAGAGCGTCGAAACGGATTAGCAGAACCATTGCCAGGCGAGAACCATAAAAAATGTGAGTAAATATTTGTTTAACCCTAGAAATTAAGTTATATTTTGATATAAGGTAGGTCCGTACAAAGGTTAACACGAATCTTTGAGAAATTTACAACAATGGGAAGGCAGAGAATGCTTTTTAGAAAAATAATTATGTATCTTCGAGCCCAAGCAAAGCAGCAGATACAGGCAGACAGTCGCAGACACACACACACACAAGCGTACTCACACAAACAAGAGAAGCAGTCCACACACACACAAGCACACGAAATAATTTCAGAACCAGAGGGAGAAGCAGTAATAAAAAAGCGTCACACGCCATACCCTTTCCACTCAACCGCACTTCCCCCGTCCTATGTCCACACTCGTTCACTCATTTATTGAGAGAGTAGTAGAGTGGGAGCCAGCCCCCATTATTTGCGGCGAAAACAGAAGAAAAGAAAAAAAACAGTGCCCGCCTTACGTGACGTGCAAATGAGAACAACAACAACAGCAAACAAGAGGAAGAAAACTGAAGCAAACAATTCATCGAAAGAGAAGACACACACACACACACAAAGACAGCGGAAAGAGCGAGAATGAACGGAACAAATGGATGGATGGAAAAGCAGGCACCAGGCAAAGCCAAAACCATATCATCCATCCCAAAAAACCGAATCAAAACCGACCAAACAACACAAGGCGCAAAACATATGAACGACAACGACGACGCCCCACACACAAACACACACACAGATACAGACAGATGTACAGATACAGAGCCGCATGCATACCACACACAAACAAAAGGCAAAGCCAAAAGCCCAAGCAGCGCCACGGATATGCGAATGCGAATAAAATAGCAACAACAACGAAGAGTCAGAGCAAGCAACCGCAGCAGCAGCGACAGGGCAACCAGCAACAACAATTATGCGGCGAATTTGCACGAATCATGCGAAATCTCCAATACACACACACACACAGGCCACACTCCTCACTCATCCGTACATATGCCCCCATCCCATGCATAATACGTGTTTTTTTGTACTTGTCGCCGTAATGTTGTTGGTTTGTCGCCGCCGTCTTTTCCATTTCTCGCCGCCCAACTGCCAACAACCGCGGCCATCATCATCACGGTCTGCGCTTTGCTTTTGAGATTTTTCTTCATTCTCAACTCTGTCGCTCTCGCCATCTCTTTCGCCGCCTTTGACCACCCAACAACAACAGTAACACACAATCCTGCAATGAAACCACTTAAAACCAAAGCTAATATTTTCTGTCCATCTTTTTTTTAATTTCGTATTATCTGCCACTTTGTTCGCTGTTTTGTTTGTCGCTTTTGCACTCTCATTCTATACGAAAAGCTGTCGGCATGCTGTCGCTGTGTCTCTTCTGTCTCTCGGTTGGAATCCCCCTAACATGGCGCTGACGCTGGCTGCTCTGCCGCCAAAGGCCGGCACACGACCCCTTCCCTTTCTACACTCCTCTCTTCGCCTGCACCAACAACACCAGCCCCTACCACCCTCTGCCCCCTTCGTCTGTGGCAGCAGGCAGCACGTGATATACTCGCTTTGCTTTTGTAATTTTGCTTTTGGCCTGCTCTTTAGCGCACGCTATGCTTTGCTTTCGTATTTTTTGTTGTTTTTTTTACTTCTTCATACATTCATTTCACTTGTTGGGCTGTTTTTTTTTCTCTCTCTCTCTCTTTCTTGTGTTTCTGCTTTGTGTGAGCTTTTCGTCGCTCTCTCGGCTTTAGCCGGCACACAGTCGCGCTCGTGTTAGTGTTCATTCAAGAGAGCGGACTCTCATTCTTGCTCTCTCTCTCACTCACTCTGGTAGTTGTTCTGCTCAAACGGCTGTTTCTTGAACTTCGTTCTCTCTGCTTCTTCCACTCTTGCCGCCTCTCTGCACATACTTCTGAATCCACAATGACAATGGGCACCTCTATCCGGTTTAGGTCCAGGTGCAAATTTGTATACAACAGTTTTAACTCGATAATCGGGTCAGGACTCGTACAAGAAAGGACGACTGTGTGTACATGTGTTTTTAGTTTTTTTTTTTTACTTATTCACTTTTGGCAATTCTAGCGGGAAACATGGCGTCAGTTTTGTCACATTTTTTCCTATGCCTATTCATGCACGGTTCTGCTTTGCTCTCTTTGGCCACACTGACTATTTTGCAACGTCATCATATGCATCCAATGCAAGTGTCCACGCATTTAGAGATGGGCATCGTTTTCTATTGATTTTGTGTTGGGTCTTGCTATACGGTTAGTGCTATAAAGAATTAACGCTTCATTTTTAAACATTTGGCATGCCATCGACAAAGGTATTCTATCTCACCTTGTTTGCGAATGTGTTAATGATTGTTATCCAAATATGGAAAGTGTTTTAGATAGTTGCCACGAAATCTTTTAATAATTGTGCGAAAACCATCGTAGTGGGATAATCATTCAGACAATCCAGTGCTACAAATATGAACCCTTCGGGTTAATCTTATTTTGTGTGTGTTTCTTTGATGTGATATTTCGCAAGCAACATTTATCTATCGCTCATTGCTCATCTCTAATACCAATTGGACATGCCATAAATGTACCGTTACACATTCAAAAAGCTGCGACACGACGTGTTTGTAATTTTTTGCCCAGCGAACTTTTGTGTGTTGCTGCTGTCTTTCTGTCGCTATTCGCGTGTGTTTGTGTGTGTGTGTGTGTGTGTGTGTGTGTGTGTTAGGGGAGTTGGTGCTGTGCGCTGCTCGGCGCTCTTTGGCTTTTCCGAAAACTGTGTGTGGCAGCAGCAGCAGCAGCGTCGTCGTTGCTGCTGTTACTTTACCTATTTTATTACCATTTTTATGTACGTTTCTGTGAGAGTGTGTGCGTTGCGCTGCTGCGCCCATCTGTCTCTGCTTTGCCACTGCCTCTACTTCTACTTTT